GATATCTCCGTGAGTATTGTAAAAAAACAGCGTGAGTAAAGTATGAATGTATCAAACTCTCAACGCCCTCCTTAATATAATTCTCCTCCACATTCGTGATCTCATATAGAAAGTCCATCATTAACGCCCGATGTAGACCATAGGATTTTCCAAATAAAGTACCAATTAGTGAGTCTAGAATCCAGTAATAACGGTTTACATTAATCACGATCCATTCTTCATTAACACAGTAAACTCTTGGTATCATCGAAATAAACAAAATGATAATCGCCAAAAATCGCATATTGCCAATCTCGCCTCCTTGACTCCGTAACTCGCGAACCCGATTGAATTTTCTTAAATCCTCGTCATTCCCAATCGTATCCAGGCAACCTAGAAATCCACATGAGATCCTAATACCCAAATAAACACCGTAAGTGAATGATATCCGTCTATCACGGCACTGGAATCTTATTCCCGGCTTCATAGAGATAGGGTTAATATTATATGTAATTGTGTGATTGAATCAGAACAGGACCTGAATAAGTGACCTTCCAAATTTGCTCCTTTCCCGGATCTGATGTCCTCCCATCTTTGGATTCGACCAGTATCCCCTGAGATCGAATTCAAAAATTCCCGAAAGTGGCCACTAATCCCCCGAAAACTCGAATAGCATCCATAAATAAACCAAATTCCTTCCCTGTTTTCCCAGATCAGAACCCGATCCTCCTCACCATAACCTTTTGAACCCCTTGACTGATTAACCATGAAATCGTGAAAGCCCTGGAACCCTATATCGAGAAGAGAGACGCCATTTTTTAGAGAAAAAAAAACGCCTGGAGAAAAGCTTGATTAGATTAAACAAACCATTAATTATTTACTAATGATATACTACCAATTACAAGGATTAGTTTACCATGACCTTTTGATGACGATTTCATCTGAATCTTATTCTTGTCATTGGGGACACCTCGTGAGCTTCTGCATTGGTAGCAAAATAGGGTTCTCGAAAGTCATTCCAAGCTTGCAGCATAAGGTAGCACTGTTGATGCGGCTTTTTCAGCATGTGCAACGAGAATATTGTAGCCTTTAGATTCCAACGCTCGAACAAGTCTTAGGACTTCAATTTCTTGTGAGAACTTGGAGATTACCATCATATTTGATGGTGAGGGATTTTTCAGTGCCCATAATAAGATGTCTACAAACATTGTATCAACTTCCACATCTTAAAGTTCAAAAAATAAAAAAAATCTCCACATCTCTTGAAGAAAATGTAGTTGTGCATTATGTGAAAGCTGGTAAGATATATCAGCTTTCACATCTTGAAGCTGGTAAGATATATCATATATACATCATATTTCCTTTTGAATTTTAAATTTAGTTTGAATCTGATTTTTATTTTTGTTTTAAATAACGTCTTTTAAGAAAATTATTAGAGGAAAAAATACCAAATCTTTTTTGGATATTGCATTGATTTGATGTTGAAGGATATAAAAATATTATAACAAGTGAAGAATGCATTGAAGAAGTGCATATTCATGAACGGTTTTATTTATAGTCATATCTCTCTTGTGAGAGAATGTCAGATAAGCAATAACCCAATAAACTGTCTCTTGTGAACATGATGAGGAAGTTCACAAATCAAAGCAATTTGGATAGGCCGGTTGTTAATAGATTTGCTATATGTTTCAGCATGTTGGCGCAATATCATAAACAACAAAAGAATCTGAGGTGGATGTTCAATCTCAATAATGGAATGATTCTAAATGGCCAAAAGAAAAAAGAGGAAAAAAAGTAAAACAATTTATTATGCAAGAAAGCTTTTGGAAAAATATTCTCGATGCACTTAAATTTAACATGTCCGCTGGTTAAGGTACTAAAGATGGTTGATGGAGAGAGAAAGCCACCTATAGAATATACTTATGCAGCTATGGATAAAGCTAAAGAAATGATCTCAGCAAGTTTCAATATGAATGGAGAGAGATACAAACTTGTCTTTCAGATCATTGATAAAAAAGATGGGATTGTCACTTTCATGGACCATGTAGAAACATTTTGCAAGCCATGTAGAGCCTTCTGCTGCGGCATCCCAGGCTGTGCAATGAAAACATTGTAGCTTTCTGATTGCATGTCTCGAAGAACACCCCAGAGCTCCGTTTCTTCTCGGATGTTTTTCGAGATTACCATCAAATTCACCTCTGTTTGCTAAAAGGATTCCGCCATTATGATAGTACCAAAATAATTCAACACACAATAAGCCCTGCTCGACACTTCACCATGATAACCCTCGTGTCGAAGAGATGATTTGATACTCTGAAAAACCGTAGCAGGATCAAGATCCTCAGGGATTGGATAGTCCTCAGTGTTCCACAAGACACACACATCTCTCAGCCACGTACCGAGACTTTGGGTGCCATTAGAGAGAAAAAGGTAAATTATGACAAAGATCCTTGTGTGTTCGTTAATTTCTACTCATAAACTCGAGATACATATTAAGTGCCGGTCAAGAAAAATAATTAAGGATGTGGTCATATCTTCGGTTTGCATTGAAATTAGAACAACTCGGGTTCACACAAATATACCAAAATCGGTAAAAACTAGAAAGGACGACTGTTTTAGTTACGGTTTAATTCCGGTTTATGCCTAGGCACCCAATGTACCAAGGAAAACACATAGTGAGACAAGAGAGGATAAAGCAACAGACATCATTTACAGTATAACCTGAGAGAACAACTTCAAAAAATCCAACACTCAATCTTTACATTGCTTCAACTTGTTTTCAACACCATCGAGAGGAAGCATCATTTACTCGTACTCGAATCGTACCTCGACATGAATGTATTTCCTCATGAGTTGAACAATGGACCATGTGAACGACGCCAGAAATTGACAATCCGCCTGCGTTTTGGTTTCTGAGACAATCCCATAAATGATCAGTTTCTTCAGATTCGGACATCTCCTCAGCAACTCCTCGACCCAGATCGAGAAAACATCGTTCATCATGGTCCATCCAAGCTCCAGTACAGTCACCTTCTCCAACAGAGTGTTCTCATGAAAACTGTAATGGTCATCTTTTAAGTCGTAGCTTAATGAGAGATGGGTCAGTTGAGAGAAACCAGCGGCAATGGACTCGAGATCGATTATTTCATCCTCATCATCGAAGACCACATCCCACAGACGGAGTTTCCTCAGCTTCTGCGATCTCGAGATCATCTGATAGAACTTTGGCCAGACCATTGTGAAGTGGTTCACATCAACAACTTCAAGGCTCTCGGAAGTCTCCATGATATCAAGAGTAATGACACTGACATCGTCAAGCTTGAAATGTTTCAACGTCCCGTTTCCTATAAGCTCAAAGAGCTCCAGGACACAGTCTTTCATGTGCAAGAACTCGATACTATCAGCCTCCAAGATGAATTTATCCAGGCTGATCCCGTCGAAATAAACACTCTTCAGCGTCGGGCTGCTCAGCTCAATCGTCACTTGCGTATCCGACATTGCAATCTCGAGACTCACTAGCTCCAAAGCCTCGATCATCGGGCACGCACTGAGCAAAAGGTTCAGATCCAAAGCCGAAATGCTAACATAACTCAGCGAAAGGGATTTCAAACAAGGGAATCTCTGGAAGTTTGGTTCGACCCCGGTGATAGAGTTATGAGCCAGAACCAAAGATTCTAGCTTTTGCCTCCCGCAGATTTCAAGAATGTTGACGTTCGGAGTGGTACGGACGTTATAAGACAAACTGCGCAAGGTGTCCCTCGTGTACATGAGCCAAGCAATGACAGTGGCAGCAGAGAACTTGTTCGCATCGTCCATCGTAATGGAAAGCCCTTGAAGTCCCGTGGTTTGGAAGATGGTTTGAGTTATGAGTATCTCCAGACGATTTGTTGTGAGGTCTCGATAAAATGGCCAATCAGAGGAATTGAAAGAAAGCGCCTGGAGATGCTTGCGACAAGCTTCACGCCACTTCCTACATGTTGCAGAAGCTATCACAACATCACGAGCTCCTCGAAGCCGTGACAGTATGTTTCCAACTACTTCCACAGGAAGATGATCCATACTTCGAAAAGGAGGATGATCAAACTCTTATAATCCAAACTCTTTGGCCAAAAATCTGAAATTTTGTGGTAACTCGTCAGATACTCAGAGCCACCACACTGGTTCATAATAAACAAGAGATCAGACATCAAACTGTATACGTAATCTTTTATACTGGGGAAGTATTACAAAGAAGAATCCAGCACAATTCCCAGAGATATACAAGAACATTTGATCTTGAAACAAAGCGTAGATCCAACTACATCTCAAATATCTTTTTTTACTAAATGTGTCGAAGTATTCGAGTAAATGACCAGAACCAAAGAAAAATAGCCAGTTTGATTATCAAGAATCATATCGAATAGTCACGAACACCGAAACTAAACCATCGAAACTTTGAAAGAAATTCGAACAGAGAATTTCAAAATTCAAGTAGGATTATTATGAAGCGAAACATCGTTACAGAGAAACGGGATAATAGAAAACAAAATCGCGTAAATCTGTTGACATTTCCATCAAAGCATCTGAATCAACCAATGATAATAAAAGAAAAACCGGTCAAATGAAGCAAAATCAAATGCATCTGCCTACCGTTAGTATTCACCGGGATATTACAAATCGGCGGACGACGGCGGATCCGCGACGAAGAAGAAGAAGAAAAGAGGAGCCGGGAGGAGGCGATCTGGTGAGAGAGGAGAAGAAACGAGGAGTCGACGACGAAAAGGTTTTTTTTTCTCCCAAATTTCACCACTCAGAATAAAAGAAATTAATAATCTATACTTATTTTGGTGGTGGGGCCCATGGCGGGATGTGAAAATCAACGGCATCCTACTGACCAGAGTTTTTTGTTTTACAAAAAAAAGTTTTCTACTAGTATATTTAATTATTTTCAGTTTTTTCTTTGAACTTCTTTTATTTGTTTAAAGTGAACTTTTTGTTAGTTAGTCAATTCGACTCCGTTGGATTTGGAAAATGAAATGAATTTTAAAACGATTTTTTAGTCCCATTTACTTTAATTATTCGACTTATTTTGATAAAACCATAAAACAATGGGAGATAAATAGATACATGTTAACACCCAACATTGCAATCAATAATTGCATTCAAAATTGTGATCAGAATTTTATTTAGAAGCCACGACGCTGGTAAAGCATCTGGAGATCATTGCAATGTTTGCAGGTCCAAGGAACCAGATAAGGGTCTAAACAATAAGTATGTATGCGCCTGAAATTGCAGAGGTGGCATCTGATGAGAAGGTCATCTGGCTCACTGAGGAAGCATCTGCTGCAACCTGAAGCTCGAGTCTGCAGAAAACAAGAAGAACAGTGTTGCAACCAAAGAACAAAACAGCCTAAAACTCAGTTTCTTTCTTGAGAGAGAGAGTGAGAGAGTAGTATAGTACCAGTGGATTGAAACGTCGTCGTTCTTCTTCAGGGAGTACTACGAGAGTGTTGTTCGTTGAAGATGGGTCAGGGACTGTTTGGGAATATATCTTTTGATCGGAAGATCCAGCGTCGTCCACTTTCGTGATGGTGATGAAGTTGGACTTGCACAATGGACATGTTCTCTTCTTTCTTTCTGAAACCTGCAGATACATATATCATAGTTGCATCATGACAATATCCGGATTTTAAAAGTTAATTTGGAAAGGTTTATTAGTCAAGAGAAAGATAACTCACCATATGGTCTGCCCAGTTCTGGATGCATGAATAACAAAACCTGTGGCCACAAGGGAGAACGCCTCTACTGGAACTGAACTCGGTCCAGCAAATGGCACAAGAAACCATCTTACTTACTTCTGTCTCTTCTTCTCTTGAATCGGTTTTGTCGCAATTTGATTCCTCATCGTGCAGTATTCTCTCTGTACTAGTTGCTCTCGGACGTTTAAAAACAGCTGAATGACACCAGCGATCAGACTCCTCTATTTCATCTACATCCCAGTTTTGTGTTGCAGAGTCTCGAGGATGTCGAACAGCTGATGATTCTCCTGGTTCTAAAACACACTCCCTTACATTTTCAACATCAGGCTCTCTAGGATAGAGAGTTCTACGTCGGTTCTCCTCAGAATTGTCAAGACAGTTACTACCAGTTTCCTCATCCGATTCAAGATCGATAAGGTTTCTGCAAGGGCGTTGCTTTACTAACCGCCTCTTCCCTTTCCCTGAAGATTCCGCCATGCCAGTGTTTTCTTTGTCTTCAAAGATATTACTCGGCCTCTTTGTTCTTAATCGCACTGAGTGTCTGTTTGATCCTATATTTTTCTGAAGATCAACAAAGGAGCATCAACAACCAACAAAGGAGCATCAAGAACGAACGATGGAGCATCAGAGACAGAAACGAAAACCAAACTTATTAAACGCAATGATGCAAGTAAGCATATTTTTATTCATGCGGATTCAAATGCTTCTTTCCGCAGTGACCAACTATAGCTAATCATAGTAGCGATATCACAATGTGAAAATTAAACATGAAGAGGATATATGCTATTATCAGATCGGGTCACTCGAAGCATACAGAGACTATGCGAATTGCTAAAGCTATTCTGATCTTTAGCAATATGTACGTATACAACAAAACTATTACTTAACTCAGTAACACTAAACTGATAGGCTTTCGGATTCGGTTTCGCATCTAAGCAAAATAGATAATATGAGGAAGAAGAGTACCTCTTTCAGCAAGACAGAATCCATCCAAGTGGCAAGCTCAGAAGTGCATCCGCTCCTACTGCTTTCTTCACCATCACCAAAGTAATTATCAAAGCTTTCGGCTGACTTTTTCACTTTCTTAGTGACTTTAGCTTCCTCAGGAACCGCGGGAAGTTCAATCATCAAAGGCCCAACCTCTTCCCCACTGACCAAATTACTCTTTATCAATTATCTTTTAGGAACCAAGAAGTTAATCTACACATTTCAAATAAGAAGAACGAACATCAATAGGCAAACCTTTCAAACATGTAAGGCTCCTCTGGAACTCGTCTCCCTTCCTTTATGCATTCTTCCACCCATTGATGATTTACTACTTTTGTATTGAACTTCTTAGCAAGATCATACTTTTTACCCTCGAATCTCCAACACACCTACACATAAAACCAACAAAACAAAAGGGTGTGACTTTGTTTCTCCTTAGTAGTCAATCGCATAGGAAAAACAGAACAGTTTTTAGACGAACCAAATGGGTAATGGATCGTGACATTGCCCCTACATAACTTGCTCCAGCATGGGAGATAAGCTTGATGAGCTTGAACCTCTCAGAGCCATGATAACCACTCACAGTTGCTACCACGTTTTCCATACCTACAATAGCAAAGCCGCAGAATCTGAAAATTGGGCATGAAACCAAAAACAATTCTTATGAAAATACGAAAATTGGGGGTATCTTACTTCTTTCGTATAGAAAATGGGTTTTCGATAGAGCTATTAGAAATTGAAAGGAAAAATTTGCTAAACCCTAGAACTTAAATCGAGCTAAGTAAACAAAATTATAGAAATTGAGAGATCAGAAACCTTTTTACAAAAATCGAACAAAAACCCTAGAAACTGCAATTTTTTTGCTTTTTAAGCAGAATTACCTGGTCTAATTGGTACGAATTTTGCAGCGAATATCTCTTTGTTTGGGGAATTTTTCGCAGATTTCTCTTCGTTTGCCTCAATTCCTTCTGTTTCTGTCTTCCCGTTCTTCGCAGGTCTGTAAATGTAAAAGACGAAGAACAATTGGAGCAAATGACTGAAAGGGAAAGTGAAAAAAAAAATAGATGGAAGTCTGGCGGGAATTTAAAATATCAATTTTGGACGGCCGATATTAATCTGTTTTGAATTTTTGATATGAGAATAATACTTCTTTGAACAAAAAGGAAAAAATACTACAAATTTTGAGTGTTAAAATCTTGCATTCGGTCCAAAGGATGTCTTTTCAAAGATTACTATACAGGTAAATTCAACTTTCAATTCATTTAAAATCTTTGTAACTTCAATTAAATTACTCTTCTTTGTTCATTCTTTCCCGTTTGTACACATCTCAGTATCGCAGTTGAATGTAGCCAAAACTTGTAGAGAACTGTCTGTTTACAAATTCAAGTCAGGCTCTCACAAAATCGGATAAACAATAGCACTCAAAAGTTCACCACTGTACTCTTGCCAAATATATAGGTTTAATCCAAACCAGCAGCAATTCCACAGTTGAAGAAGGGATGAGGCTGGTGAGTTATTACTATGTACTCGGTTTAATCGCATCATCTCCGACTAGGGTTTCCACGTGGACCAGTTGTTGCAGCAGAGCCGTACGGCGGCGCATTGTTGGATGATCCAGGTGGGAAAGGACCGCCATGTGGTCCTGCGGGTACCCTTGTTGGGTCATACGGACCAGGAGGACCTCGTGGGAAGTAGTAACCGGGTCTTGGAGGGAAGTAACCGGGCTGAGTTACACCTGGATAAGGGAATTGAGCTGTGGCAGCAACTGGATTTGGTCCAGGTGCGGTACCAGCAGCTGGTGGAGGAACATATCCCTGCAAAAAGTGACAAAACATATAGAGTTGAAGCACATCTCAATCTTATTCAAAGCAGTTTAAAAAATGAGCAAAGATTTAACCAAATCTAGAGCTTATCCGTGTACTTCTACTTTGGTAAAGATTTTGAGCCCTAAGTGTATAGGTTGTATACCTTTCGTTATGGTCAAATAAATGTGGAATACTGTAGAGAGTTTCATTTGTAGCTATACTTTGATAGTTACAAGACTTGAACACGAACCTGGTGACCAAAAGTATCCTCATAGTAACCAACTCCACTCTGATGCCCAGAAGCGTCATGTTCAGGATTGATGTTGCTACCATAAGGGCCACCTTCATTTGATTGACAAGATACAAATTCTTAAAAAGTTCGCGGAAGAATGAAGCAAAAATAGAATAGAAGCTAGAACGATTTAATACCGGCTCTTCTATCCGAATTTGTGTTGTTCATTAACTGTGCTTGAAGCTTTTGTACTTCCATAGCCATAGTCATGTAGTTCTTCTGCATTGCCTGAAGTGACTCGATATGGTCGTTGTAAAACTTCTTCTCATAGTCATACGTTGCCCTGCAGAATCAGATAACAAAAGAGTCATCCCCGACATTCATAAGAGAAAGATACAAATGCTGATAAACTTAAACAGTGCCGCGAGTTTGTAAATTTCAGAAACTTCCATACCTATATACTCCAAAACGTCAGATTTTCAAATTCTACTTCTCAGAAATAGCTACAAACACAAAAAAAACAAGAAGAATTAGGACAAGAACCTGCACTGCTGGTATTCCTGTCTTAAACCATCAAGCTCAGACATCAGAGCTGGCACTTGCTGCACATCGGAACGAGCTTTCTGAAGTTCCTGAGTCAACTGATGCACTTTGGACATAAGATCCTCCCTCGCCACAACCAGGTTATGCGCCTCCGCGCGGGCCTCTTGCATCTCCATCTTCACGGCGTCGGACTTTCGAAGCTCAGCCTCCATCTTCGCAACTTTATCCGCAAGACCGCTCATACGTTGCTCTCTCTCGGACTTCATCGACCCTATCTGCGAATGCAACATCTGCAGCTCGTGCTGCGCTGCAGCTAGCTCCTGTCTTAGGTTACCATGCGTAGACGCAAGCCTCTGATTCTCTATCGCCAGCCTCTGCATTTCCCCGTGCTGTGCCACGAACTTCTGCTCCATGACTTCAGGTGGAGGCATCATGTTGAAGGAAGGAAACGCTCCCTGAGCAGGAGGAGGCATACCGGAGCCAAAAGCTTCGGGATGGTGAGCTATACCGGGACCTGGAAGAGGACGCCTCATATGAGGTGGAGGAATCCTTCCTTTGCTTCCCATCGAAGAGGCTTCAAATTATCAAACTGAGAAAAACATAAGAATAAAAGAGGAAGATAGACACAAATTCACACAACTCAGACTTAGTGATAGTGCAAACAGAACAAATCATCAGACTATATTCGATTCAGAATACCAAACTTGGGAAATCAATTTGATTTAGGGTTCTACGTCACCGCTATCAACTCAAAGCAACAATTAGATCCCAAGTGATTTCATTAAATCCTGAGTAATCTAGGTTTAGGAATCATACAACAGAACGGGAACAACTAGGAGATCGACACGAGCCTTAGGAGCACAAAAGATCTAAGAGGATAACCGAAGAAGCTTACTAGGATTATCTAATCGACGGAATTGAGCGAGTTTGAGATAGATAATACTGCGCCGAGAGAGGAAGAAGTACGGCAATCGGCGGCGAAGGTTTTTTTTTTTTTTTAAATCGACGTGCAGCTTCTTTTCAGTTTCAGGGGTGAAAAGCTGTGGATGTTCTTTTAACTACAGTTACACAATTTATTCTTGTTTTTCTTAATTTACTTACAATATATATACCGTAATTTTCATTCCAAACATTTAAAATCACTTCTCCAGTTCTCCAAACATTTTTAATCCATTTTCTACATGTCAACACCGTTACTAAAATTAGTACACCATTCCAAACAATTTTTAAAATGATTTAATATATACCATCATAGATTTTTTTTTTGTTGACAAAATGCAATTTCACTGATGTTAAAAATAAAATTACAAAATCAATATACAAAACTTTTAAAAAGCAAATTATTACATAAACAGATATATAAATTGTAACTGTGAAAACTATACAACAAAATAGTAAAATTTGAACAATGTTTTATATAATAAATTTTTACTCGCTAACAAAATATTATTAATCCCGTTATTTTCTTTTTTCATATTCTATCTTCTTCTAATGCAAGCTGTGAGTATTTAGCATCTCTTGGCTAAAACTTCTAATTGCACATGGCATGACTCAGAAGAAAACGATATGTGACACGCATCACACTTGCCAACATATATTTTGTTGTAAATTTGTAATGCAAGGGGGTGTTCATGGTTTTCATGGGATAACAACTCTGAAATCAAAATGCGTCCTACGTCAAGAACTACATGATCAGACTCATCATACCTGAAATCATTGAAGAACTCTCACTACAAGGAAATTTTTTTGGGGGTTGGGGAGGGAGTCCATGTCTCCAGCATGTAACACAAATGGTTTGTTGTGAAACATATGCCTTCTTTTTCCGAGGAAGATTTGCGCATGTTTAGTGGAGGATAAAACTACATTACTCACAACTGTGGAGGAGAAAGCAAATCCAGATGATGGAGTCAAAGGATGGTGGTGAGTGGTGACGGAAAATGTTAGGAATGGTTCCATGGCGGATGTGTGTGGGTCAAATCAAAGCTCTTTCTTTAGTTTTGGCCTTAAAGAATCTTTGCTCATCAATGGTTATTACTTATTACCAAATTGTGTAAGATAACTCTAAAATCTTTATAAAATTCATTTGTAAGCTCTTTTTATTAAAATAAAACAAAAGTGTGGTGTTAGCTGTGCCACATTTTGGGCTTGATTGGTTACTGCTGTAGCTTTCATTTTTTTGTTGTAGAAATAAATCTGTAAGTTTTTTATTTTGACTGTAGATTTTAGTGCTGTAGGATTATTAATTTTTTAAAGTCTAAATTTTTTCCTTTACATATTTTGCTTTCTACAGCCAAAAAAATTAAAAAAGAAAAAAAAGATCTGTAGCTTTAAAAAATCTGTGTAAAGTATGATTGGAAAAAATTTAGTGCTTTAAAAAAATTATGATTGTGTACAGATTCTACAGCACTTACCAATTAAGTCATTTTTCATCACTAGCTTGCACCTAATCCTGATTTCCCAAAAATTAATCTTGATATAACTACTTGAAAGCACATATAAATTTAAGGAAGTAAATAAACTTTCTGAAAAATACTTTGATTTTTTATTTCAAGCTTAATTGATATACAACGGATTACATTATATTTATACACAAAACTTATGGAAAAATCCTAATGAGTTATTCAGGATATATGGATGCCAGCGTTTCAAAACGGTTTTGGATTTCAACCTTTTGCTTTGAAGTACGGATCGCCGTTGCACCTTCCTCTGCATTTTCTCTGTTTTTGTCTTCTTGCATTTTCAGAGATGACCGTTGTGGCTTGGGCTCGGAATCTGTCTTGGGCTTCCAATGTAACTGGGCCTTTGTGCTGTTTTGCGAAACTGCATCGTTTTGGAGGGAAGCGCTAATATCCCCTCTCAAACTCAGGGTGAGAGGAGCGACTACACCGAGTTTGCTCCATAATCGGCAGAATGGCTCAGCGGCAAAAGACTTGGTGAAGATATCTGCAACTTGATGATGAGCCGGAACATGTTTCACGACAAGAGAGCCCAACGCTACACGTTCTCAAACATAGTGCCAATCCGTTTCGAAGTGCTTCGTTCGTTTGTGAAAGGCAGGATTCGTCTTGAGGTAAACGGAAGACTGATTGTCGCCATAGAGCTCCGGCGTAACCGGTAAGGATATACCAAGTTCTCACAGGAGAATACTGATCCAAGTGATTTCAGAAGCCGTTTCAGACAAGGAACGATACTCTGCCTCGGTTGAACTTTTGGAAACCGTCGGCTGTTTCTTGGAAGACCAGGAGATAAGATTTTGGCCAAGGAACGTGCAGAAGCCACCTGTGGATCGCCGTGTGATAGGACACCCTGCCCAATCACTGTCGATGTAAGCTCGCAGAGTACAATCGCTGTTCTTGTGAAGAGGATTCTCATAGACACAGTCCCCTTAACATAACGCAGTATTCGCTTGAGATTGTTAAAATCAGCCAGAGAAGGATCATGCATCTTCTGACACATATAGTTGACGGCAAATTGAATATCAGGCCGAGTGAGCGTAAGGTACTGAAGCTTGCCTGCAAGACTACGAAAGTAAGTATGATTAGAGAAGGGAACATCCTGCGCTTGCACCTTATTCAATTGCAGAGGCAGAGGAGTTGGCATTGGAGCACAGTCTGTCATAGATGCAGTAGCGAGAAGATCAAGAGCATACTGTTCTTGTGTCAGAAAGAGACCCTCATCCCGGAATTTAGCCTAAATACCCAGAAAGTAGTGAAGTTGACCGAGATCTTTCATCTGAAACTGCTTATTAAGCTCATCAAGTAGCCTTGTGAGAACTGCAGAGCTGTTTCCAGTGATAGCCATATCATCCACATACAAAAGCAGCATAATCACATCCTTGTTCTTTGTATAGATGAAAAGCGAAGGGTCCTTGATGCTGCAGACAAAACCAAACTCAAGGAGAAAGGTACCAAACTTATCATATCAAGCTCTAGGCGATTGTTTAAGCCCATAGAAAGACTTTTGTAGATGACATACGTAATTTGCCTTTATCTTATCCACAAACCCAACTGGTTGCTTAATATAGACTGTTTCTGTAAGATCCCCATGAAGAAAGGTATTTTTGACATCCATTTGCTTGACTTCCCAACGCATAATTGTAGCCAAGTTAAGAACCGTTCTAACGGTTACAGTTCGAACAACAGGACTGTATGTTTCGAGATAATCGATCCCATCTTCTTGGTTGAACCCTTGAGCCACCAGACGAGCCTTGAGCTTATCCAAGGTTCCATAAGCGTTGAGCTTGGTGCGAAAAACCCATTTACTGCCAAGAACATGCATATCCGAAGAGTAAGAAACTAAGGACCACATGTTTGTTTCAGCACAATTACCATTTTCTTCACCTATTGCATTATTCCAGCCTGGATGTTGAAGTGCCTTAGTGAAAGTCTTGGGCTCCGGAAGTGACACTTTATGTGTAAGAAGAGCATAGCGCATATTAGGCTTAACTATGCCTGACTAAGACCTTGTTTGCACTCTTCGTGGTTGTGCAGTATTCTGAGCTGCAAACTGTACTGGTGAGGCTCTAGATGGAGAACCAGACTCATTCACCGGAGAAGATTCACTGTCCCCTGCTGCATTCTCAGAACAATGTCTCTTTGCATTAGTAGATTCACTCTGTAGAGGTGAAGAACTAACCGGCAAAGGAGGGAAATCCTGCTTAGTAAACAGAGATGCTTCAACTGTTGCTTCCACTTGAGTGTATCGAGGATGCACACAAGGTGGTTGTGTCTGCTGTTGAAGAGGAGTTTGAACACTATCCGTTAGGAGAGGAAGAAAGCTCTTCTGCCAGGAAGCCAGACTCGGTGTCATAGCAGCTTTATGAAAACGCTTGTATTGATGCGCGAAGGGAAAATTTTGCTCATCAAACAGAACATGACGAGTGATGTACACCTTTCCAGTTGGAGGATATATGCATCTGTAACCTTTGTATTTGTCATTGTAGCCGAAGAAGACACAATGCAGAGAACGAGGATCAAACTTATTGACTGCATAGTCTCTGAGAGTTGGGAAGCACGAACAGCCAAACATACGAAGAGCTGAATAATCCAGTTCTTTCTTGTGCAACATCTCATAGGGACTGTATTTGCCATCGAGAACATATGAGGGAAGCAAGTTACTCAAAAAATTTGCAGTGTAGAAAGCTTCAACCCAATATTGTTATGGTAATTTTCCATGAAACAGCATAGTTAAACCCAACTCCGTGAGATGACGATGCTTCCTCTCAGCCAGCCCATTTTTCTGCGGCGTATAGGGGCATGAAATGTATTGCTGAATACCACAGCTCTGAAGATGTGTGAGAAATCAATGACTGATGAATTCACCACCACCATCACACTGAAATATACATATTTTGTGTGACAGAAGATTCTCAACGAGTTTCTGAAACATGAAGAACACATCGAAGAAATCTGATTTCGCTTTCAATGGATATAACCAGGAGAAACGAGAGTAGTTGTCGATGAAAATGACATAGTATTTGAATCCTTGATTTGATATTATTGGAGAGGGACCCCAAAGATCACAATGAACTCTCTCTAGAGGTCGAGAAGCAACAAAACTAGACATTGCAAAAGGTAATCTACTACTCTTCCCAAGACAACAAGACTCGCACATCTTCAGGGTACTTTTATTCAAAATGATAAACTTCTTCAGATGCAGGTGCTGCAGAACTTCAGAGTGAGGATGTCCAAGCCTCTGGTGCCACACTTCATCACTTATGGAGATCTGACGTGTAGAGTAAAAGGCTTGAAACTTCGGATCTTGTAACAGATAAAGACCATCACGGGTTCTTCCTAGTGTCAGGAGCTGTTTTGTGTGTTTGTCCTTAACACGAACACCATCTGAATCAAATTTAAAGGAGAATGGATAGTCTGAAGTCAACTTTGAAACAGACAACAAAGATTTTTCAATATCAGGACAAACCAAGACATCTTTGAGAGGGAGTGTACCTGATGTTAAAGGAAGATCTGCAGAACCAACATGAGTAATTGGAAGAAAATTACCATCACCAACAATAACAGTATCATTACTATGGTATGTTTGAGCGTGAGTGAGATGTTGCGTAGTGTTGGTGATGTGTGTCGTTGCACCTGTATCAGGGTACCATTCTTGACCAGCAGTATCAGGTGATATATCATGGTTTTTACTGGTTTTTGACCATGATATAAGTCTTGTTTATAGATTCTTTTTGGTATTTTTTGAGTCCTTTAGAGCCTTTGCAGGTCTAGGTACGTTTGGAGCATAACTGTGAGTTTTGGAGCCTTGTGGAGCTATGTTGAAGCTGATGCTGAAAAGACCAAGTCGGAGAGCATTCTAGAGTATGGTGTCGATCGACACCAATCCTGGTCGGGAAGAGAGGCTTTAAAAACTCTTTTGAAGAATTGTAACTTGGCCCAGAAGCTTCCTACTATTTGCAAATTTGCCCCAGTCGTGTTTAGAGTTGTATTTAGGTTTTGAAAGCCATTGTTAGGCAATCACCTTGTATTTGATTGAGAATAAGAGGGAGACTAGATTCAGAGCTTTTGGGGAGACAAATCCGTACTCTGTTAGAGAAGAATTTCGAACCCCTTTTGTCTTTTACTCTATCTTTTAATGCAATATTATTCAGCCATGATTTGTGTTTCACTTCCTATGTCTGAGTAATCTGCTAGTTAGGTTGTGGGATTATTCAAAGGTTGATAATGAATTGTTAGAACTGCGAAACTGGAAGGATAAATCATTTGGTTCTTTATCTAGATTGATCACCTAGAAATCAGATCTTAGGTTGTTTAATAGATGTGGAAACATTGTTAATCACCAGAACTATCTTATATGAGCAAAATAACTAATTTCAAAGGAATTTGGATTAGTGATTTTGTGAACATATCGAACATGAACCATAATGCTTGCTTAGGTTGTTAGAATTTGCAAAGGAATTTTGAATTCTAGAATCTGATCATAGTTAATCTCTGCGACGGAAGTCGATTGGTTTTACATTCGTGTTTTCGAGTTCTAGAACGGTTTAAATATAAATCCTTTCAGTCCATAGTCTGTGATTTATGTCAACCCGCAAATTTTTCATTGCCTAGCGCCTTGTCTCATTGATCTTAAGAACCTACAATCCGCTCTTGCTCTTGTTACTTTTATTTATTAATTCGTTTTACTTGTTATTGCCTGCTTAGCTTTTTTGAATCTAAAATCTGTTGAGTAATAGTCTTAAGTCCTTGTGGATTCGATCCCTAAGAACTACAGTGATCTCTTAATTTGAGAGAGTAGCTCTAAGGGTTAATTTGAGCATATCATCAGGGATTTTTTCAGTGATTCGCATAGCTGCCAAGGCCTGAGGAAGATATTCGTCATGGTAGATATTGTTGAATCTGTGCCAGCAACGCAACGCTTGATGTCCAGGCTTGCCACAGATCTGACAAACTGGTCTCTCCTCACCTTCAACAGAACCATTGTAGGAGGTCAGTTGTTGGTGAAACCCATGACCCCTAGTTGAATAAGTGTCGCATCCTCTAGAGCCACCACCACGACCACAGTTGTACTGCTGACGACGATCACAGTTGGAGTTGTAATCGCTTGACTGCTGAGATGACTGTATTGTGTTATATGTGAGGTGAGGCGAGACTTCAGTAGCAGAGTAACTTTGGAGTCTATCATCAAAGCCAGTGAGCCTGGGAACGACATCATCAAAGGAGGGAGGTGGGATAGAGTCCATCAAGCCTTCAACACTTGTCTTAATGGGCTCATATTCCCTGCCGAGACCCTGAAGAGCTGAGAAGATTTTTCATTTTCTCTGTCACCGGATGAACAACAGAGGAGAGAAGTGTGCACACATATTTGACTTCCTTGAGATATTCAGACATATATTTCCCGGCTTTGGAGATGGTTTGAAGACGACATTGAAGCTGGAACAAACGAGATGCAGAGCAGCGGTTGAAGTGGTTTGCAACGCAGAACCAAACGTCCTGAGCAGTCTCACAGTTCACGACTAGATCCTGAATATCGTCGGCGAAAGAGCCTATAAGCTACGATTTAACCTCCTGGTCTGTCTTGCGCCAAGGTTGGTAATATGGGTTTTGGGCTTCCGTATCTTGACCGTTGATATCCGGAGCGAGGATGACCTGAGGGGGGGGGGGTGGCGGGCGAGGAGTAGCGCCGTTGACGAATCCGTGAAGACCATGACCGGAGAGGAAAGACTCCTATTGGAACTTCCATCGAAGGTATGAGCTCTCAGTGAGAGTGACAGTAACGGATGAGGTAATGTTTAGAGAAGGAGGCGTGTAGATTTCCAGAGCTCTGTTCTACATGGCTCCGATACCATGAAAGCACAGATAAACTCAAGGAAGGAAATAAACTTTCTGGAAAATACTTTGATTTTTTTTAATTTCAAGCTTAGTCGATACACAGTGGATTACATTGTATTTATACATATAAGCTTATGGGAAAACCCTAGTAAGTCATTCAGAGGATAAGGATGCCAGCGTTTCAAAACGGTTTTGGATTTCATTCTTTTGCTTTGACGTACAGATTACCGTTGCACATTCCTCTGTATTTTCTCTGTTTTTTGTCTTCTTGCACTTTCAGAGATGACTGTTGTGGCTTGGACTCGGAATATATCTTAAGCTTCCAATATAACTGGGCCTTTGTGCTGTTTTGCGAAACTGCAGCGTTTTAGAAGAAAACGCTAATACTAAAAAAGTTAGCCTAAAATTGAGATGTAGATTTTTAATTGTCTTTAAAGTTTATACTGTATTACTATTATCTAACACGAAGGAGCCAAAATCATTTATTTATCAAGTAGATAGCAATAAACCACAAAAGTAATTAAGTAACTAATTAGAGGAAACTTAAATTAATCATACCAAATTTCTATCCTTGGTTTACTATATATGATGCAGGTGCACACTGGTACGCTGTCAATTGCCAAAAGATTCCAAACTTCTTCGTCCAATTTTATACATTTGCTAAAAAACATATATCATCTCTATAAACCTTGTTCATACAAACCGTTTCTTAAGATTCATTTTGATATGATTTAACCTCAGTCGCGTAAATGGACGTATTTCTCTTTGGAATTGGATTGGAAAAATTGAAGAGTTTGTTGTAGTGAGTGAATAGGGATACTGATAGCCGTTGAATCAGATAAACAGCACCTGAGATAACCACCCTTTGAGAGATGCTTATGGACTTTTTGACTAGCGAGTCTACCGACCCGGCCCATATATGCCTCGCCCGTGTAAAATCGGGTGGGTTTAATTAACTAATCTTTACCCGACCCGGAAACAAATTCCGGCTTTTCTTCTCCGACCACGATAGATCTGAAACAAAAAAAATATTCGGCGAGTCTTTTCTCTCACTACTCTTTCTTCTTCGTCTTACGTTTTCCTCTTCCACTGGACTTGGTTCGTTCTATGTTACTCCTGCTTCTACTGTTCCAATGGCGAAGAATAACGTGAGCGATAACGCTCCTCTGTCGCGATTCGGCGTCCTGGTCGCTCAATTGGAGTCGATTGTGGCGTCAGCATCGCAGAAAAACCCTGACCCTCTCCTCTGTTTCGAGATCCTTTCTGATCTTATTTCCGCACTCGATGAAGAGCACAAGGTCTTTCTTCCAGTTTCTCAAAATTGGGTTTTCTTTTTCGGTTGATCCTTCGTATATTCGTCCATTTTGCTTTACAATGCTCAGTGTCGTCATTTTCGCATCTGAAAATTAGAAGTATCTGGAAATATGAGTCGTCGTTGTGACAAGAGCCTAATCGTATGCATTGATCTGAGCTTCTTAGTTCCACACTCCCCATAGGCCATTGCGCTCTATTTGTTCTAGATTGTCAAAGACATTTCTAACTAGGAATGTTACATTCAAGAACGTTTCTGGAGTTAATTGGTGTATATACATTTGATTGATACTTGGGATGTCTTATCTGATGCGTTTTCAACGATCATGCATGTCAGGAATCTATATTAATATGGCAACGAAAATGTGAAGATGCTTTGTATTCTCTGGTTACTCTCGGAGCTCGGCGACCGGTACGGCATCTTGCGTCAGTGGCTATGGCGAAAATCATATCAAATGGTGATAGTATTTCGATATACTCTAGAGCTAGCAGTTTACAAGGGTTTCTTTCGGATGGGAAGCGGAATGATCCTCAGCGAGTTGCAGGTAGGCTGTGTTTCAATTAGTGTATGTTTCTGAAAAAATATTAATATTGGTAAACATTCTATCGAGCACAGGAAGCATTCATGCATTTCATGAAGTTCATCCATGCGTTTGGCTACTCCTTTATGTTTGTTTGGTCTTATGTTCCTAAGTTTATGGATGCATTTTTTTTCCTAGGTGCTGCCCAATGCTTGGGTGAGTTGTATCGTCATTTTGGGAGAAAAATTACTTCTGGCTTAGTCGAAACAACAGTTATTGTGACAAAATTAGTGAAGTTTAACGAGGTATTGTGGTTCAACTTTTCAAATCTCTAAGTTTTTGCTGTCATTTGGAAGAGTAAATTTAGCAGATTTATTTGTAATCTCAATGGATCACATCTTTTTTTTTTTATCATCGGACCAGTTGGACTATTTAGAAAGAACTATACGCTCTGAGAATCTCAAATAGGTATGGATATGTAGTAGTGAAGGGATTAAAGCTCTGTAACCATTACTACTGTGTCCTAATATCTATGGTAGATATGGTCTGGTGTATAAACCAACTTATGCGTTTTCCTAGTCTATAAATCTGCTGTTTCTCAATCATTGAATTTGTTTCCTCCCAGCTATCATTATCTAAAATTTTGTGAAGAAACTTGTTGACATCAATGAGAAGTGACCTGTATACTGGCAGCTATTAGTTAGTATTGATTTACTTTTGTGTCGTTTCCCTTGTTTTCAGGATTTTGTGAGACAAGAAGCCTTTATCTTGCTTCACAATGCTTTGGAAGGCTGCGGTGGTACAGCTGCTGCCACTGCGTACTCAGAAGCATACCGTCTGATCACAAGATTTTCCACTCTGGACAAATCATTCGTAGTGAGAATTGCTGCTGCTCGTTGTTTGAAGGCCTTTGCCAACATTGGAGGACCTGGTCTTGGTACTAGCGAATTTGATACTTTAGCGACTTACTGTGTCAAGGTCAGTTTGATATGCTAATGAAACCTGTATGTTTGTAACTCGGTCTTCTTTCAATTTCTTGGTGGGCTGATGTATTTACCTCTGTTAATGTAGGGTATTGAAGATTCGGAATCATCTGTCCGGGATGCATTTGCAGAGGCTCTGGGCTCATTGCTTGCGCTAGGAATGCATCCTGAAGCGCATGTAGACTTATTTCTCTAGTAATTTGCTTCCTTCTTGGCTTCATAATTTTGTGTTTATGGAATTTGATTTGTTGTTAGGTCCAACCTAGAGGTAAAGGTCCATTTCCACCAGCAAAGAAACTGGAAGGTGGCTTGCAGAGGCATCTAATTTTACCCTTCACAAAAGGTAGTGTTATGAGTCATTGGAGACAGAATTGAACTACGTTTTATACCTCTTCTATTTTGCCGTTGAAATTGTGGCAGAACCTCTTTAGTCCCTCTAATACATTCACTGTGTGAGCAGTAAGAATAAGAGCAGTTATACTATAATTTAACATACCTGATTATTTATTTTCTTAATAATTTCATATCGCTGTTAGAAACTAGCATATCGTTCTAACCTCTTGAAATAATACGGTTTTAATGACAGGATCTCTCTGTGTAATTTTTTTGTTCATAAACTCCCCAGACTTGGGATATATATACATTTCTTTTTTCAAATTGCAGTAAATCTTTCTTTTTCTGCGAAACACTATTTTTTTTCCCGTTATGAAATATACTTAAATCACAGCGGTTGGATCTCGGGCAAGGAACAAGCGGTTTGGTTTGGCTCTGTCATGGGCGTTCTTTTTACAGGTAAACAAACTCTGGAAGCCATTAAAAATTTATTGTTGTCCTTGTGAGTTGATTAGATTTTGCATTTCAGACTGACAATAAGACATTATTCTTAACATTTGACACGAGCCTTCTCGAAAATTACACCAATTAATATTAAGGGATATATCTGCATACTACAAGTCTTTTTTGTAGTAAACCTGTTCCTAGAATCTTGTGATTATATACGATTTTTTTGTGTACATACATATCTTAAACTCGGCACTGTCGCCTTGTAAACTTATAATGTGTTGAACTGAATTTATCAGGCCATTAGGATAAGGTATTTGGATCCAGATAGTGAGCTTCAAGACTATTCTTTGCATGTTATGGACATGCTGCGGGGTGACACCTCAATTGATGCCCATGCACTGGTACGTGGTAGTTCTTTCATTTTCCTGCAATTCCAACCATCTGGATGATTTTCTTACATACTTAATCTATCAAAATATCACCTTGCAACTCTAATGCTATGCCGGGAATCATTCATATCTTTTCTATGCATAGCTTGAGAACAAAGAGGAGACATTGTTAACTCTTATGAAAACATCAGTGATGTTCTGCTGGATCAAATTTCGTAATGTCTATTCTCACTTTTGAAGGCATGTGTTCTTTACATCCTACGGGTTGGCGTAATTGATCAAATGATGGAACCCAGCCAGAGAAGCTTTTCCGTTTTCCTCGGAAAGCAGGTTTGCATTTTAACTTTACCACTCTTTGTCCCTACAAGTCAGAGCTATATATTGTCAAAATTTTAATTTATGTTTCCGCATGATAATCAACTAAGTTATGTTTTCTTCTGAAACAAATGTAGCTTCAGTCTTCAGATGCTAGTCCATCAATGAAAATTGTTGCTTTGCGGGCTTTGTCATATACGTTAAAAACACTGGGAGAGGTGAGGCCACTACTGGCGTAAATTCTTCTGATTTATTTTTTCGTGAAAGCTTTTATTTTCTTTAATTGCATACTAAAACTTTTAAGTTCAATTTTTATTTCCCTGCCCTGCAGGTTCCCCATGAATTCCGGGAGTTTTTTGATGACACCGTGGGTGCAGCACTGTCACATTTTTTGGAACTTGTAAGTTTCTTGTTTCGATAGTTACCCTCAACAGCAGTCTTTTTTTCATCTTTTTCTTTTCTTTGCAACATTATCAAAGAATTCTAATTCTTTTCAGCATTAGAATCTTAATCCTTTCACTCTTCTAGGCTCCTATCTTCCTTTTGTTTAGTAGTAACAGTTGCACTGAATGTATAATTGGATGTAAAATTGTTTCACCTGCGTTAAAAGATTGTCCATCAAATGTTAGGTAGACAAAACCTTTGTCAATAGAAATAGAGGGTTGGAATAGGCCGTTATCACAGTAATCAATAGGTAGAAAAACAAGATCTGTATGCATAGAAATCAAAGGTTGGAAGAAGTCGTTATTACAGTCATTTCTGATTGCTCTTCTGACTGTAGTAGTTCGATATACTACTGAGTATCCAGAGTCAGCTTTGTGCAGCGTTTATTAGCTTTACCTGTCATGCCAACTTAAATGTAAATGACAACCCAAGGGTACATTGGGTCAAACGACAACCCAAGGGTAATTGTAAATGCGTAACTTACAGAAATAAACTTGGTTTTTTTTCAGGTACGTGTTGAGGCTGCTTTAACTTTACGAGCTTTGGCTGAGGTTGATCCCACCTGCGTTGGTGGGTTGACTTCGTATGCTGTAACCACTGTTAATGCTTTACGGGAAGGTTTATCATTTGAAAAGGTAATACTAGATCTTCCAAGTCATGTTAGCTGAGTTGGTTTTCTTCTTTGAGCCTCTTGAGAGTTTAACATGGGTATTTTATTCCATACTTAATCACACATGCATGCACGATCTGCTGCGTTTGTATCATATATTTCTAGTGAATATACTGTTAGAAGTAAGCAAAAGATTTTGGGCACGAGATGATCTGGCACATCTTAGTATTGTATGAGAGGGCTGGCAACAACAACAAAAAAAAAACAATATTGATGAAGATGTGAAGTGAACTTCTGATCCAAATGCAAACCAAGAAATTGTTTTAGTGAAAATTAATATGAAATTGAAAAAGATGTTTATATCATGAAAGACATCATAATTTCCCTTTTTTATATTTATGGCCTTCATCAAATTGGATTTCTTCATCTCTTAATTCTTTATAATTAGGCATTTTGTATTTGTAACAGTTGCAACTTCATGATAGGGAATGACTTATAATTCACCATTGTATTTTCTGTAGGGAGAAAAATTGAAAACTGATCTTGCTTCATTGCATGGGCAAGCAGCAACTTTGGCAGCTCTAGTCTCCATTTCTCCTGGACTCTCCCTTGGTTATCCTGCTAGGTTAGAGTCTTCATAGCTCCCCATAATCACATCTTATTCACTGTTACAGCCCTTCAAACTCAGCATTAATGCTTCCTACAAATTATTGTTGTTGGGCATTGGATTCTTGCATTTAGGTGGCGTAATTTTTATCTCTGTGAGCCAATGAAGAAACCTTCCCAGTAATTCTATAAATTGCTACCTTTCGTATTGCCCTAGACAACTAGATGAACCTTCAAACTCGTAGTACTTTCAATGGGTTCTGAGAGTTTGTCATTTGCACCTTTCCAGATCAAATAAGTACATGGCCATACACCTTTTGCGTACCATGAAAAATACTGTTGATATATTTGTGCTAGATAGTCAAAATAGTTCTCAACCTGCCACGACTTGCTTAGAATTGCCAATCCAGAACTTCCATTAATCCAATTGCGAAACTTTCCTTGTAATTTCTTGTTCACAGATTGCCAAGGTCAGTGCTTGAAGTTTCAAAGAAGATGCTAACAGAATCAAGGAGAAATATAACAGTCGCCTCAAGTGAAAAGGAAGCTGGATGGTTATTGTTATCATCACTATTAAATTCTATGCCAAAGGAGGTAATATTTCATCCTTGTCTTCAACTACGGTGTCCGGAGTGTGCAGTGTCTTATGCAATTCTACTTTATTATATAGGAGTTTGGGGACCAAGATTTTGATATTCTTATCCTGTGGGCTGACGTCTTTACTGGAAACCCAGAGCAGTTGATCAAACAACATACAGATTTAAAATCTACGTTAAGGTAAGTGGCCATTGATGCATTAACCTTAATTGAAATGCCAAGGTCTGAATATACTTGCCCTAGGTTGTATATCTTGTCTTAGCTTCTGGTAGCGAACCATGCTTATCGTTTATTTGACACATCAGGAAACGATGCACATGCCTCTATAATAAAACTCGTTTATACTAGTCTTCAAACTCTGTTTTAGTTGATTTTTGACACATTAATAGCTGGTATGAGATTGCTGAGTCCTCAGTTCTCCTTCATTGCTTCATGTCCAAGAGGAACAAAAGTGATGACTCTTCTTTTTTTTTGTTCTTAATAACAAGCAAATGATCAATGTTGTTGTTTTGGTAGTGTATGGTCTGCTGCAATTGATGCACTCACAGCCTTTGTGCGACGTTTTGTCTCTTGTGATGATGGTATTCTACTTCAACCAGTACTGGCAAACCTCCGTAGGTAGGACATTACTGATGCTTCCTACAGTTTTTTTTTACTACCTGCAATTGCCAATTTTTAACAATTCAGCTATTTTCATTTTCATTTGAGAAAAAGTTCTCTTATCCTTTGCCTGTATGAGTGTATTGACATTATCTTCTTGGAAACAGCGCTTTGTCTTATGTATCGGCAATGGCCAACAAACGGCTTCCTGATGTCAAAACTTTGGTCGACATTCTCATCATAAGAATATTGATAGCTTACCAGTCCATCCCAGATCCCTCGGCCTATAAAAGTGAGCATCAGCAAATTATTCAGCTATGCACAACACCATATAGGTAATGATTAATGTCATACCTAACTGCTACTCTATCCAAAATCCTCTATAAATCTATGTTCAGGACATGATTTAATATATCCTTTTGTTAATAACTGAACTAGTCATTCCTTCATGTTTGTTTAAATGAAAGGGACCCTTCTGGATTCGAGGAAAGCTCGTGCTTGAAGGCGCTCCTAGACAAAAGAGATGCATGGCTTGGTCCTTGGATTCCTGGCAGGTGCCTAAATGTTCATCAGTATTTATGCATTTGCATGCCCTAAGGAATTTTGGTGCAATTGTTTCTTACATATTGTTGATGACGCCGTAGAATACTAGTCCCCAAGGAGATGTAAGCTTTTATGAATTTTTGGTCCAGGGATTGGTTTGAAGACGAGCTTCGTTATTTTCAAGGAGGGGAAGATGGTTTAGCACCAAGTGTATGGGAAAGTAAAGTTTCTAGTTTTCCTCTGGTAAGCGCAATGCACTTTTTGGCGAGAACTCGTTCTTAGTGGAGACGCTGGTTTTTTTTTATCTGGCTATAGGCTTGTCTTTGTTATTTATGCTCCAACTCTTACGCAAAATTTCTGTAATCATGAAGCCAGAGACTCTGAAAAAGACATTGGTGAATCAGATGGTTCTCTGCTTTGGTATCATGTTTGCTTCTCAGGTTTGTGATTGTTATATGTCCAGATAGGTCCTTGTTTTGCTATGACATATGCTATTTTGATAGTCTGAAATAATTGTAACCTTTTCTTCTCAGGATAGCCATGGGATGCTCTCACTTCTTTCTGGCATACAACAGTGTATGAAAGCTGGAAAGAAGCAACAATGGCGTACAGCCAGCTTAACTAACATCTGTGCGGGACTTCTTGCCGGATTAAAGGTGCTCCCAATACGATATTTTTATACGAGCTTTGTGCGTTTTAACGGACCTTAGTAAAGCGTTTAGTCAAAATAGTTGTATGGTAAAGGTACAACCATGTTCTGGTGAGTTTGTTATTCTACCTCGTGTATGATACTTAGGGCTGACATGACGTGACGTTGGAAAGCTAGAAAATACACATATAACATGACATTATAATATAAGGTGATACACATTTTGGTCTATATGTAAATCCGATAAGTTTTGCTCCATTAAAGAATGATCCAAGCACTATTCTTTGAGTATGGAAGGGTTGTGCTACCATGCCTCTGCAATGTTAGGACCACTATGCTCAAGAATTTAACTGTACCTGAGTTCCGATCTTGTTAAAAGGAAGATAATATGTTCTGTTACATTCAGAACTTCATGTTTAATTTATTTCTTACAGGCATTGCATGCTCTACGTCCTCAGCAACTAGGGACAGAGGTATTAAGCACAGGGCAAGCCATTTTTCAGGTATTTTATGCGAAATAAATATCCTAGTCCAGAATTATGAACCTAATCTAAAACTTAATTTACGTATTTTCTCATATATATCTTTTTGATATTTCTGTTGCAATAGAGTATTTTAACAGAGGGAGATATTTGTGCGTCGCAACGCAGAGCAGCATGTGAGGGTCTTGGTCTTCTAGCTCGGCTTGGAAATGACATCTTTACAGCAAGAATGGTATGTCCACAATTGATTTTGATCTGTATAGAGAAATCTTTTGTGACCCTATCTTCATGCCCCTTAAAATTGGATGCTTATGGGTCCCTACTTTAGAGTATACCATGTCCCTGCTTTTGCTTGTTCACTTATTACGTAAATGTTAGAAGGAAAAAAAAAGCGGTACCGATTTTCTTGGTCTATATGTTCTTATTTATCTTTAGTGATTGGAAGTATGACAAACAAATTCTTTTATATCTCACATATGTTTTTGCATGGTGATAAATAGACCAGAGTGCTTCTTGGCGACTTAAGTGGGATAACTGATCCAAACTATGGTGGATCAATTGCTCTTGCACTTGGCTGCATCCATCACAGGTGGAGTTTGGCTTTCTTACTTGAACATTCTGTTTAATATGTGGTGAATGTCAATAAAATTGAAAAGTAGGTTACTATGTGCCTGGTTGTGATGCTTTAACAGAATTTAAGTTAAAATATTTTCAATCTTTGGAGATACGTATTATTTTACATATTGAAAGCTACTCTATTATTTTGATCTGTTATATTTTGAAATTTTATTCTGTACATGGCCTGCAGTGCAGGAGGAATGGCACTGTCGACCTTAGTACCGGCTACTGTTAGTTCAGTCTCATCTCTGGCCAAAACTCCCGTTCTTGGTCTTAAGATTTGGGCCTTGCATGGGCTTCTTTTGACCATTGAAGCTGCTGGTTTATCATTCGTATCTCATGTTCAGGTAAAGAATTTCGTAGCTCATTAAGACATTTCAATGCACACTTTGCATATGTTGCTTTTTGGTTTTAAAAAGATCTCATTTTGGTGTTCTGGGTGTTCGTATTTTTATAGTCGTCAAACAAAACGAATTTTCAGCGCATATATAAAATTGGCTAAATGAGTAGTTGACTTGGTTATGACCTGTATACAATATTAGGCAGCATTAGGACTTGCCTTGGACATCTTATTGACTGAAGAAAGTGGATGGATCGATCTTTCCCAAGGCATTGGACGTCTTATCAATGCTATTGTTGCTGTCCTTGGTCCTGAGCTTTCTCCTGGCAGCATTCTGTTTTCACGCTGCAAGGTACTATTCTGGACCTTCCAACATCGTCTTTGAAAAAGTGAAGATGCATGCAATTTGTATGTAAGGAAAATTGGTTTGCTCGTCCTAAAAATTGTTTTAAATTTCCTATAAGCATACCGCAAAACTTCGAACCTTGTATTTCAGTAAATAACGTATCCTATGTCTTGCCTTGTTGGATAAGTAAAAGAAGATGTATTCATTTGTATGTAAGAAAAATTATGTTGCTCGTTCTAAATCAAAGTTTTTGCAGTCTGTTATTGCAGAGATTAGTTCTTGGCAAGAAATTCCAACTCTACTTGAGTATGTGAAATGCTTCTCTTTGTCACAATCATGTTGATTCATTGTTACTACTAAATAATTATCTCGATTGTTATCAAGCTTCATTCTTTTTTACATCTAAATGTTTTCAGGAGCGTCTGTTTCACTCAGCAGCTAATTCTTTTTGCTCCACGAGCTGTGTCAGTGCATTCACACGTGAAGAATCTCTTACTGACGCTGGCATCAAGACAGGTTTTTTTCTTATTTGTTACCTTTTCTTTTCATAGGTAACTTCAAGGGATTACCCTTATGAAAGCTTGTTACATCTTTTGGTAAACAGCCAATAATTAGACGTCTCTCTGTGTCAACTCTTCGGCATCTGATTGAGAAAGACCCGGTAAACAGCATGCTTTCATCCCAGTTTTTCTTTTCCAGAATCGTATAGTCTAGGAATTTATCACACCCTCCGTTTATCGAATTCTTGTGTTTTAGGTTTCCGTCATTGATGAGCAGATAGAAGGTAACTTATTTCAGATGTTGGATGAAGAAACGGATTCTGAGTAAGCAATTGTTCTTTCTGTATTTTATTGTCTTATGAAGTTGATGTGTTCTTATGTAAGGTTCTGATTATCTTGCTTTAATGATGTAGTGGAAATTGTTGTGTTCTTGTAGGATTGGGAACCTGATCCGTAGTACCTTGATACGCCTGCTTTATGCCACATGCCCATCACGCCCATCTCGATGGATGTCAATATGCCGAAACATGGTAATTGGCTAAGAGCTTCTCGTACTAATCTATTTGTTTTCTATGGACTTTTCATTGCTGCAGTATGAACTATCTGAAATAAGACCATGGCAATTTATTTATTTCCTCATCGCCGTGATTCTGTTCAAAATGTTACTGTCACTTTTAAATCGTCGTGTGTTGTTATATATCCAGGTCTGCCTTCTTGTTCTCACAATCGATGGAAATTTGGTTTTTACTCTTCTGACAGGCCCTTGCAGCATCCGCTGGAAGGAGTGCTGAAACGAACAGTACAGAAAATGATCCTGCTAATGCAAGAGAGAACCTTGGAGATGATGATGAAGACATGGTTTCTAGTTCTAGTGGAAAATCTTTACGTGCCAATCTTGATAAAGACAAAACCTTGAGATACCGAACCAGAGTTTTTGCTGCTGAGTAAGTGGGGGATGTTTCTTTGTTCTTTACCCTCCCTCTCTGGATACCTTTAAAATCGATATATTCAATGAATGCCTTGGAATAGTTTTTGACCATATTTATAATTTGATGGAAAATAAAATTTCAACTGGTGTTTCGAAAGTATATGCTGATGCAAAACCTTGTTTCAACAAGTTCGGTAAGGGTTTCGGCATTGAGCCAATATTAAACGAAATCTTAACGTTTAGTTAATGCTGAGCACTTCATAAGTTAATGGTTCCAGCGCTCAGTCAAAATGCATACTAGTTTATATTTGTTTGTGTTCTGATTGTTGAACTTTTACCTAAATTAGCCTAACTGATTTTTCAACTGTAGGTGTTTGAGTCTTTTGCCAGAGGCTGTTGGAAAGGATGCTGCTCATTTTGATCTTTCATTGGCAAGGAAACTTGCTTCTGATAGACAAAGCTCAGGTGACTGGCTAGTCCTTCAACTACAAGAGCTAATATCTCTTGCTTATCAGGTAACGAAGAGGAATTAACTTTGTAACGCACCATCTGAAGTGTTCTGAAAATTGCTCAGAGGGTATTTTAACAAGATGTACCACAATTTTCAGATAAGCACTATTCAGTTTGAAAACATGAGGCCGATTGGAGTTGGACTTCTTAGTACAATTCTTGAGAAGGTGAGGCTTTGTGGTAGTGGAAGTTTTCTAGAAAGTAGTTACATGGTTCTCTCATTCCCTCCACACTTTTCTACGTTTCTTTCTTTAGACGTTGTCTGTTCGATAATTCTTCCCCACCACCCAATTCTTTGCCTCAAAATATGTAATTCTTACCAAGATTTTGCAAGCCTCCAAGTCTTCACCTTGTTAATCTGGTATGGTAGGTTACAGCAAAAATAATTTATAATTGTGTGATTCTTATGCAGTTCAAGTTAGCAGCCGACCCTGAACTTCCTGGACATCTTCTTCTGGAACAATATCAGGTGCTCCCCATGCAAACTTATTTCTCAGCCAGCAAAGACTAATTTAATATTTTTCATGAATATAGTAGTTACTGACCATTTTTACAATTAGGCTCAACTTGTGTCTGCTGTTCGTACTGCCTTGGATGCATATTCTGGCCCTGTTCTTTTGGAAGCTGGGTTACAATTGGCCACAAAGGTGAGAATGGCATCTGTTATGGTTTTTCCTTCAGGTTTTTGGCCCTTGCGTTGCTAAATCAATGTGTCTAATCATTTCAGATAATGACCAGTGGAATAATTAGCAGTGATCAAGTTGCAGTAAAACGCATATTTTCTCTGCTTTCACGTCCGCTCAATGAGTTCAACGAACTATATTATCCGTCGTTTGCTGAATGGGTCACAAGCAAGGTGCATAAGCAACAAAAGGTTTCATTTTCTAATTTCATTTGGCTTTCACTGAGTAGACTTGTTCTTTCAACGTAGATCAAGATCAGGCTTCTTGCGGCACATGCCTCGCTAAAGTGTTATATATTTACATTCTTGAGAAAACACCATGGTGAGGTGCCAGTAGAATTTGAAGCGCTATTGCCATTGTTTTCCAAGAGTTCAGACCTGCTCGGTAGGTACTGGATTCAAGTCCTAAAGGGCTACAGTTATGTTTGCTTATGTCAGAACCTCAAAAAAAGTGTGAGTTAACAATTAATACTACTATTTTCTCTCTTTAGCTGAACACTTATATCCTTGTGCTCCCCTATCTTCTGATAAGATCTCTGACTTGCTGCAGCAGTGCTCGTTCTTGGATGAAATCTCGCCACATACTGTGTCGAGAAGGCTACAGCCTTGTCTGGAAGAGGCATGGCCTGTGGTCCTGCAAGCTTTGGTCCTGGATGCAATTCCTGTAAATCATAGCGTAGAAGAATTTTCTGATGGCTCCTTAATATCTAGACATCGCATGGTTACACTAGAGGTTGAAGACTATCAGTTTCTATGGGGATTCGCTGTACTTGTCTTATTTCAGGGGATGCATGAAGTCTCTGATACGCAAGTAATACCTTTTGGCTCAGCTAAAATTAAATATAGTGGAGACTCCAGCATCAAGGAAACTTCGTTCCAGGGCTTAACGTTATATGACATTGCATTACCAATTTTCCAATCTCTTTGTGCTGAAAGATTTTTCACCAGTGGCTTCCTTAGCGTAGATCTCTGCCAAGAACTATTGCAGGTAGCCTTTTTATTGTAGTCTTTGTGCTGATCTACTCCACTCCACATTTTTCTCTTCTTTTCCCTGACTGCCCTCTGCTTTACTGATGTCCAAGCCCATAGATTGTTAGCTTTGGTTAGTTATTCACTACTCTGACTGGTTTCATTTTCCTTTTTTATCTGATCCAGGTTTTCTCGTATTCCTTTAATATGGACAGTTCATGGGATATTCTTGCAGTTTCCGTAGTCCAGCAGGTAAATGGCTTGTTGATGTTACTGAAACCATCGCTTCTCATTGAAAGTTTAAGTTCTAGAGCATCATTTTTAGCCTGCATTTACTCACTTAAATTAGGTGCAAGAACGTTTGTATATTTGTATATTTATATTCTTTCATTGTTTTTTTAGTTGGAACAAAGACTTGCTCGTCCCTGTTAGATAGTTTTCTCGTAACAACTGTTTCCTTTATTTTTTTATGACTATATATGCTTTATGCGTTAGAAAGATGCACGTTCTGATAAAGTTTGTTTCACGTTTCAACAGATTTCACGTAACTGTCCAAAAGATTTTTTTGAGAGTGAGCAATTTGCCTATTCAACCATGGAACTCTGTCTGGGGTACCTGTTCAAACTTCTCCACAGGTGAATTTCTTTGTTTTGAAAGCTGTGTCCAGTTCTGTTCATTTTGAACCTGAAAAATCATGTGGAGGGAAGTAACCATAACAAAGGTTCCTTCTTTTCTGTTTCAGGCACAATGAAATGTCGCCAGATGATGCCATTTGGGATAATTTGATGTCTCCTCTATTTATCTCCATTAAGACGCTAGTGACACGTTTTGAGTTGAAGGTAACGTGTAAACTGTAAACGATTTTTGCTTTATTTGTTGTATTTCTGGATTTTTGTTTTATTTTCTTGCACTCCTTAGATCTAACTAATGATTGATGGTAAGATGCAGTCTCGTTTAAAGTCGGCACCTCTGGCATTTCTATTAAGTGGGTATAAGTGCATCCGGCAAGTCCCCACTGACGCATACCTACCAAAAGCTCTTGAGATTGTGAAGGCCACCAATGAGTTATTGCTTGAGCTTACCAGAACCTCATCACAAATTCCTTCCACTGGTATGAGAATTAAATACACAGTTAATTTGGTAATTTGATAAATAAAGACCACCATCGTTTCAGCTACCTGGGCCAAAAAAAAACACATTCTTGGATAGGAAGCATATGAAATATAAAATAGTGGTACATTATGACGTTGCTATAGATGGGAATGCATCGCCAATAGTTTGAAAGAATGAACATATAGTAGAGTTGGAACTGGGTTAACTTTTGGTTTACTAGGCTGAATAGGGGTGGTTATCAGATAGTGTCAAAATTCTGTAAGAGGTTGGATTCGTTTTGATGGTACATCCAGTATTTCTCATACTCTGTCGCTTTTATAAGATCCCCACAGTTACATATGTAGAATGGTGAAATTGATGTGCTGCAATTGAAATATTTTGATTCCTTTTTTCAGACATTGAAAAGTTCGTCGCAGCTGTTTAATCGAAGTTTTTATTGCAGATGCCACTGATTCTGCTGCCGATAGTAGCGTTCATCTTAGAGCAATTTTTGGTGCTTGTGTGCACATGGTTGGTGATCTGACTAAAGATTGTATCAACGGAATCGATCTCGTGGACAACAAGAGATCAGGGTTACGCAAGCTTCTTCAGCTGAAGCTTGCATTCTGTCTGGAACAACTCTTTTCTCTGGCTAAGCTTTCCTATGAGTTTGACTGTCCAGGAGATGAAACTGATTCAAACTCTATCTGCATTGCCATGTTGAAGAGTTGCCAAATTAGTATAGCAGCAGTAGTTAACGATTCCAATATGCAGGTAACTACGACTTGCGTTCTTGTCCTATATTAGTTAAGCCACTAATAATTATCAAGCTCTTATAAGCATTAGTTCAAATTTCTGCAGGTTCAAGCCACTACCTTACAAGTGCTGAAAAGCTTGGTACAGCGTTCCAACAACGCAGAGGAGAAAAGTTTCGTGATCTTCTTTGTTGGGGAACTTGTTGGAGATATTGTCAGTCTGATGCAGAGGGCGCTTCTGGTTGTTTTCTCGTTTCCTTCTTCCAATCTCAACAGAATTTATTTTGTAGGAGAAAAGATAAATCTTGACTTCTTTTTTAGATAGACAAAAGCTATGATAACTGACTTCTTTCATATCATTTTGGATAGAAACCAATGAATAAGGAATCGGTGGTTATAGCTGGTGAATGCTTGCGGCTTATAATGCTACTTCAGACACACTCAATTGTTGATGATCTTCAGAAGGGATTTATGAGCCTTTTTCTTGAATCCGTTCTTGTGGTTTTCTCTAAGACTTCAGATGGCGTTTCTCAGGTTCCATTCCTAGCCCGGCATGTAAAATTTGCTCCCTCTTAAGGCTTTCGTAAACTTCAACTTTCTTTTGTTTTTATGGATCAATACCAGGAAGTCCTCGAATTAAGAAATATAGCTTTACGGCTTGTTTCCCATCTAGCTCAGTTGCCTTCTTCGGCTGTTCACTTTAAGGATGTTTTGCTGTCGCTGCCAACAACACACCGGCAGCAGCTTCAGGTTCTTGATTGCATTCGATTTGATTTGCTTTAATGTAGCATAGGAACTTTAAATTAGGATCAATCAATGAAGCATTTTGCATGCGCAAATCTGAAATAACTATCTAATTGGTGTCCTTGTCCTTTTGGTGTTAGGATATTATCCGTGCTTCTGTCTCTCAAGATAGCGCCCTTCCGAAGCCAAAATCCTTGGTTTCACCAATGGATATCAAACTACCAGCACCTGTGGTAGCAACACCTGAGAAAGTCACCTCTTCTGCTGATATGGTTAAAGCTGAATCATTGTCCACTGTGCCAACATCAACTAATCAGTTTAGCACAGTAGAAAGTGGAATCGACGAAGAAAGTGATGATGATGATGACGACGAAGATGATGATGATTGGGACACTTTCCAGTCTTTTCCTGCTTCCACAAATCCTCAAGCGTCAGAGTCAAAGACAGAAAGCATTTCTGAAGAGGAGCCAGTCTCTCCTAGGAGCCCTTGTATTCAGGATGATGAATTAAATGAGACAAATAATACAACACTTGCAGAAGAAGCTGATGATCAACCTCTTGCATCTGACCGTGCCGCTGACACCGCAAGAGAAGATTCTGTTGACCAGAGCAAAGGGGCCGAGGAAACAGTAGAGCCATCTCTCGTAGAAGACGCTCTTAAAAGCGAGAATGACAAAACCCCATCCGATGATCAGCTTGTTGAAATGGAAGAAGAATCAGTTGAAAGTAAGAAGGGTTCTGAATCTGAAAATACTGGAGTTGATATCAATCTTCCTTCAACTGAAGCAGATTCACCAGACTTAGATGAGACATCAGATGATCTTGAACCGCAACAGTTTCAACAGAAAGTCAAGGATGACCAAGAAAGATCTAGCACCGAACTGGTTGGAGATGATGTTGTTGTTGTATCAGGTAAGACAATGGCTGAAAATAAGAGCGAGGAGGATTAAACATTAGGAGACTAATATATGAGAAGCCAGTTTTCTTTTTTGTTGAAGAACTGTGAGTTTGAGAGGTTATATAATAGTAGTTACTTCGACCATTTATGATTCAGCTGTATTTTTTTGGTCATTTCAATTGCTGTGATTTGGGGGATATATCTTAGTGTATAAAACTGGCGGAGAACGTTTATAACATTGTTTGGTATTGTGTCAGTCTATGGAAACCTTCTCTTGCTAAGAGTCTTTTTGGACCCTCTTTGCCATATTTAGAAAGAAGCATTCATCAAAATTCAAAACTTTGAGACCACCTGAACCATTAACTTGAGACCACCTGAACCATTAACTTGAGACCACCTGAACCATTAGGCATTGAATCAAATTATCAATACAACAATAATCCTTGTGTCTTTCCATAGTTTGACACATCAGCTTTTTCAAATTATCTAAAGCTGACATTTTAGCAAAAAAATTCACCAATCAAAATATTTCAATAATACACATCATATTATTTTATATACTAATTTTTGTTATTTTTTTACTGAATTCATTAATCCAAACCCAAACAAATGATATTCTTTAAAAGCCCAAAACAAGTAGATATTTTTTTTTTGTTCAAAATAAATAGATACTTTTCTAAGTGTAAATTGCAGAAAACAATATATGTATATATATATAATTGAAGGTTTGCATATTATATTTTTGGTTGTTGCAAAATAACTGAAATGTACATATTATTTTTGATTAAAAGACAAACTATTTCATGTTTGTTGCTTATACTTATTGACAATGTCATTTTTTAATTATTAAATTTAAATTAGATAGGCGTTTCTTTAACTATTTTGTTAAGAAGAAAATTTTTCAACTTTTGAATATATAAAGTATTTTTACTACTACCACGCATGTGTGTGGTGAATTGATTTTTTATTCTGGATAAAATAAAACTAATCTCAAACTTCTTTCTTCTCTTATTTTCTTTCCTTTACTAGAGTTTCCTGCTCCTAAAAACAAATCCACCTTAAATAATGTTATCTTGAAAACTATATTCAGTTTTTTTTTTGGTGAAAACTTTTGGATCTTTAATTTACAACAAATTGTAGAATCAAATATGAATAATTTTTAGAGTTGTAAAACAAATATGTGCAAATGAATCTGGTAAATAATAATTGAAAGTTTCCAAATTTCAGCAACAACTCTAGAAAATGATAGGCTTTAGTTAATATATAAGCTATTGACTATTATAGAAATTAAAGTACATATTTGATCCGTTTTATATTTTCCTAGCTTATCAATTTAAAGTATGATCTGGTTATTTTAGTAGTAGTAGTCAATTTAATACTCTCTCTATTTTTTTATATGATCTTTTAAAGGTTTTTTGTTTTAAATTATATGATGTTTTCAGAAATGTATGAAAAAATGATGCTAAATAACTTTTTTATCCTTATATTAATTAATAAATGAAAACTTAATTGATAATAAATTAGGTTATAAATTTATTGTACTAGATTTTTTAATTTGTGTATAATCTTAAAATATTCTATACAAAAAAATGGAGAAAGTGTGTTTTTTTAAGATATTCATTTCTCAATTTTGGGTTTTTAATATTTTTCTCATCAAACATATTTTATAATCTTTTATCATTAAGCTATTATGTTAGAAGGCGAGAAAGTGAAGGAGAAATTGTAGAGAAGAAAATCAGTTTGCTTCAAACCGATGCAGCTAATCAAAGCTAAGGATTGGGTTCACATGATAGCATCCTGAAATAAAAGGTGTATGATCAGTCAAAATTCAAGGTCATCTTGGTTCATTTGAATTTTGAGCCAAGAGAACATGTTAATATGTTAGGAAATAGCAATATACTTGAATTTGATTTGATTATTTAATAGAAACTTACATTAATTTGTATTTACAAATTTATGTCTTGCATATAATCATAAAAAGGAAAAAAAAATTGAATTTTAGTCTAAAATTTATTGAATTGAACCAAAAACAATATAATCATAATTAGGATAAAAATTATACGAGAACCATATCGCATTCTTTCTTGGTTACGCCTAATTATAACAGATATAAAAAAGTGTTCAAAAAACAAAAAAAATAACTTAAAACAATAAATTGAAAATAAATAAAAAAAATATTAGTAACACAAATAAATAATACTAAATTACTTCATATTTTTGTAATTATGTTTGACACGAAAATGAAAAATTTTGGTTTTAAAGGAAAAATGCGATTTTTTTTGTTTTGCAGGAAAATAAAATTTCTTGGTTTTGACGAAAAAATAAAATTTCTTGGGAAAACAAATTCTCTGTTTTAACGAAAAAATATGATTTTCCGGTTTTAGTGGAAAAATGAAATTTCTCAGTTTTACGGGAAAAGACAATTTTTTCTGTTTTGACGGAAAAATGATATTTCTCGATTTTGATGGGAAAACGAAAATTTTCAGTTATGATAGAAAAACAAAATTTCTAGGTTTTAATGGAAAAATGCGATTTTTCGACTTTGATGAGAAATGCAATTTCTCGGTTTATGATGGATAATATGATTTCTCAGTTTTTATGGAAAACATAACTTCTTGGTTTGGGCAGAAATATGCAATTTGACAGTTTTGGTAGGAAAATAAAATTTCTCGGTTTGACGGAATAATGACATTTCTCGGCTTGGGCAGAAAACTACAATTTTTTGGTTTTGGTGTAATAATGCGATTTCTCAAATTTTGACGGATAATTCTCATAAATTTATCTAAATGTTAAAAAATCATATAGATAATTTATCTGAATGTTTTTTTATTTTGTTATAAAACTAACCAAATTCTCATTTTTATTCAAATGAACCATCTAGATGGAGAAACAATCAAAGTACAAATTGCTAAATATGAAATTAATATAATATTTATTTATATTATAAAAATAGTTTTTTATTTTAAAAATATATAAAATTCAGAATTATATCATGCAGCATAGCGCGGGTAATTACCTAGTATTATTTATATTAGTTTTGTGAGAACGTGTGTCGGATTTAACAAGAGAACTGAAGTTAGTGGGTAATATGTATATTAGTTCAAACAATGAAACAGAGTTACAAAACTTTGCAGAGTGTTACATTCAAGCGTACAAGAGATTTAATCGCTACATAAACATAATAAAAACTGAGAATCTATATTGCTAGGTCATGATCATCATCATGTCTGATTGAGCCATCATCATCGTCTTAATTCGATTTTCTTCCCTAAATCTGGCTTTTTCTTTGATTTGTTGAACTTCCATCTGAATCTGTTTGCTCGCCATCTCTTCTCTTTTTATCGTCACCAACCTCTCCCCGTTGATCTCACCAATTAACATTTTCCTCCTCAAATCAAGATTGTTGCTGTCTCCCATGTTGAACAGAATCGATAGGTACTTTAGTTTCTGAGTCCCCTCGAAACATCCCAATTCCTCAAACATGGTAGATTCAAGGGAAACAGCCACGGCGCAAGGATCGCAAGAAGCGACTCGTTTCTTCATCTCCGTCGACAACCTCGGAAGCGGCTCTAGACAAGGATTTTTGCAGAATCTCACGTACTTTATCTCTCTTAGAATCTCCCGACGAAATCTCCATCTCCACAGGCTTCTCTACCACTGGTGGTCGGTTTCGATCGCATTCGCGCCGGCTCTATTTCCTGCCGGTGGCGTAGAGATACGACAGCCAGAGAGAGTAAAGAAGCTTTGCCTCCGATCGGATTTTAGGGTTTATGTGCTCCACGAAAACTTTGTGACTCAGTCCAATGAAGGAGGTTTTGATGACGAGGTTACAAGCAAGAGACTCAGGCGCTTTTTTCAAACGATCCATGGCGTCGACACACCTCGAGACCGCAGGAGAATTCTCGACTCCTTTCGCGGATTTAACGGCTCGAGTTGCTTCTTTAAACAGTTCCAAGAACTCTTGCTTCTGCATCTTTAATTCTCGTTCGATCTTTTGTGTGTTTGCTCTCTCAATTTTCTCGCGACTAAAAATTAGGGTTTTCGAAGCAACGAAAGAAATTTGAGAATTGTTACAGAGTGGGGTGTGTGTGAGCGGCAGTGTTCATATATAAAGAGGGAGCGTTGAACTCAAACACCAAAAGCTGATAGGTTTTCCTTCTGTTTTGATACTTCTTGGTACCCAAGTTTTCCCAAACTTTCCTTTTTGTTTTATGACCGTTAATAAGATTTTCCATTTTTCATGTCCCATATAACTAATGCAACTTCCAGTGAAAATATCAGTTAATTTATATATAATATTAATATCTAAAAATATTGATAAAAGTATTCTTTAGTATTCGTTTATGGTAATTGACTGAGATTCTCTTTATTTCTCTATTTTTTATGTCCCATATAACTTTTCTTTTTTTGTTTTATGACTGTTAATAAGATTTTTCATTTCTCATGTACTACTATAACTAATTTACAGTGAAAAACAAGTTAATTTATTCAAATTGATATTCTTTAGCATTTTTATGGGAATTGACTAAAGAATATTTTTTCAAATTGGATCATCTTAAACCCCAAAAAATTGATATCAAACTTACCTTGAATTAGAAATCCACTTAGGCTCTGTTCGTTCTTGCATATAGATGTTGTATCTGAATGCAAATGTTTCAATATTGTTTGTTTGAATACTATTAAATCAGTATCAAGATATTGTATTTGGATGTAAAATTAAAGATATATTAAAAATCTGAATATTTGAAATGCTAAAAAATTAGATGTAGTATTTGCACCTCCAAAACAAGAAAAAACAAAACTTTTCCTTAATATAATTAAAATATTCTAACTAAAATTATATTTATTAATCTTTTTGCCAAAATCATTAAATTTTTAATAAAAATAATAAAATCATATTTTCATAAAAGCAGTACTTTTTCACCGTAAAATGCAAAAAAAAAAATTTCACCAAAACTGTAAAAAACTGGATATTCCCGCAAAAACCATAAAACCGAGTTTTTTTCGGCAAAATCGTAAAATATGTTCTCTCGTCAAAACCATAAAACCAAGTTTTCTTGTCAAAACCGTAAAATGATGTTTTCCCGCCAAAATCGTAAAATCATGTTTCCCACTAAAATTGCAAATCGAGTTTTTGCGCCAAAACTTCAAAACCTCATTTCTTGTCAAAACTGTAAAATCGAGTTATCCTGCAAAAATAATAAAATCGTGTTTTCCCGTCAAACCGCAAAATTAAGTTTTTCCACCAAAATTGTGTTTTTCACAAAAAACTGTAAAACCAAAATTTTCCCACCAAAACCACAAAATCAATTTTCCCACCAAAAT